GTGGGTCTGTTGTACTATATTGATTCACCATGAAAGTGTCATAACTGATGAACTGTGGGTCCGTTGTACTATATTGATTCACTATGAAAGTGTCATAACTGATGAATCACAGGTCCGTTGCACTATTAATTCACCATGAAAGTGTCATAACTGATGAACTGTGGGTCCGTTGTACTATATTGATTCACCATGAAAGTGTCATAACTGATGAACTGTGGGTCTGTTGTACTATATTGATTCACCATGAAAGTGTCATAACTGATGAACCGTGGGTCCGTTGTACTATATTAATTCACCATGAAAGTGTCATAACTGATGAACCGTGGGTCCGTTGTACTATTTTGATTTACTAAAAGAGTGTTATAACTAATGAACCACCTGTCCGTTGTAATATATTTATTCACCATGAAAGTGTCATAACTAACGAACCACAGGTCCGTTGCACAATATTAATTCACTAAGAAAGTGTTATAACTGATGAACCGTGGGTCCGTTGTACTATATTGATTCAATATGAAAGTGCTACAACTGATGGACCATGAATCTGCTGCGCTATTATTGATTTACAAAGAAAGTGTTATACAAGTACAAGTACGTTGTTACGTTGTACGTTGTACAAGTGTTATAAAAGTACAACACGTTTTTGAGAGATAGATTCGATTCCGAACTCTTCTATAATGATCTGAAAATCATATCAAAACAAAATGGTACTGTGGTAAGAGCGTTTCTAAAATTGTGTCCTAAATAGACGGAGCGTTTCGAGGAAAACAAGCGATTTCTCGAGAACAAGTCATGGATTTGGATTGGGATTTTAGAAAATGAGAATATACAAGTTTGTGATCTACTACTTTGACAGAAAGGTTGACGTTTTCATATAAATCTAGTTTAATTCGTAATTTGTGGTCAATTCGTCAACTTCAGATTCGTTCGATCTACACACGGAGCTTTGATCAAGCAAATAACAGTTTACCACCAGAAATTGAATAAATAAGATCTTTGCTCAGGATATTGTTCATCGAATGGTACATAATATATCACCATAACGTATGATATGTAAGAGAAACGAGTGAAACAATACTAACGGTCATAGTGGGATCGTCATTAGCCGCCATTTTATTTTACTCCGCAGCGTTTCTGCGTGAATGAAATGCTCCGTCATGCATGTAAGAGCGTTTGGGTTGGACACCGTGTACCTGCTACTGGAAATATTGACGCACTTTTACAAATCAATCTATGAAGTCAATTACGAAATTACATGTCACAAGAGTTACATATTATAACAGTGAATAAAATTATGAAAAGATTAATTCGCATTACTTGAGAACATAAAGGTACTAATTATTTCAGGACGTGTGATTCATGTTTATTTTTCATATATGTATCAAATGAATTTCATTCTTAAAGTTACGGCGCTTATTTGTCGACTGTTACCAAGTTCATACTTTGCTGAATTGTGAACAATCATTTCGTCTTAATTTAAAGGTTGACATTAACTTTTCCGATTGGCTGAGAAACAGAAAATGATATATATTGGTGCTCTGCACAAGATTAACTGCAAAAACCAAAGCATTCATTTATTAGTGAAACATTGTAGTAGGAGTTTCTATATTGCATCGTATCAGTTCATAAAAGAATACACCTTGGAAATTCTGAACATATTATACTATACTTCCTTAATGGCAAGCTGAAGTCTGAAGCTACCAGAGCACTACTATATATCATTATTCTGTTTCAAAACAACTTGATTTTTTGAGGAATATCATTTTATCTACGACATCTATTGGGGGGGGGGGGGGGGTGTATATGGGGTGTTGGAAATCCATATACAATATTTTTCAGCTCTTTTATACCATATACAATATTTTTTCACCCCTTTTATACCATATACAATATTTTTCAAAGCTCTTATACCATATACGATATTTTACAAACGTTCAGGTGAAATACAATATACTGGGAGAACCAATGTACTACAGTAAATGTATTATCATATTGACTGCACATACAAACCACAAATGATTTCATTTATTGCAATATGAATAAGACAACATTCGGGTTCATCCGATTGTGTTCATAAATTCTGTGATCACATATAATTTACAGGTATTTATGGAATAACATTCATGACTTATTTAGTGATTTCACAACCTACTTAGACCATGGAATGGGTGGAACTCAGTGTTCGTGTACCTGTTTCTTATGACTTACTTTTCCATGAATTATATAAATGTCAATGGAATCTTTCACAGGGAAAAAATCCTTAAAACATAATTGATGCAAAATTGAGAATGTGGAATAAAAGATTCATCATGTGTTCTTTGAAAATAAAAGGAAGTAATGCGCTCGCCAAAATTAATTCATCTGATCTAATTTTCAAAATGAGTATACGGCTTTTATTACTACATCTTGTACACTTAACATTATCAGGAGATAGTGATCATTCACAATGAACAATAATTTTGTCACAGTCACCAGGGAAATAATATGTATTAAAAACAATTTCAGAAACAAAGGACTTCACAAACTTTCATGTATAGATAATTCAGTTTTGATTGGACTCAGTCTTTGAAGTAAAGGCAAAATGGGATTTGCTTGTTAAAGACAATGCACGATAATTTTGTAAAACAGTCACCTGGGAAATAATACGTATTAAAAACAATTTCGGAAACAAAGGACTTCACAAACTTTCATGTATAGATTATTTATTGGACTCAGTCTTTGAAGTAAAGGCAAAATGGGACTTGATTGTCAAAGACAATGCACAATAATTTTGATTGGGAAATAATAAGAATTGAAAACAATTTTGGAAACAAAGGACTTCACAAACTTTCATGTATAATTCATTCCTTTTTGATTGGACTCGAGTATTTGAAGTAAAAGCAAAATGAGACTTGATTGTTAAAGACAGTCGAAGTCAAACAAAAGTGTGCCAAAATTTAACGAAATTTCCATAAAGGTCAAACCACTTGTTTCACCAATGATTTCAAGGCAAAGAAGTATTGATGAAAATTAAAACTACTATATGTAACTAGAAGTAACTTTCTTTTAAAGGATCACGGACGGTTTCGAAAAAGATTTCACACAGTCATGTTGGATTTTTGGCTATTTTCTGTCCATTTGAATAGGTGCATATGTTAAGGCCAATGCATTTACTCCAGGACAAGCAGTCATAAAGATGATAAAATAATTTTGACTTTGAGACTGGGAAGGTGCAAACACCTCATCAACATGTTTTTTCTGTAATGATTTCACAGCTGTTTTTTCAATGTTTGATGCACAATATATTGCGTTTTGAGACACGGTTGACATCTTAAAAGGAAAATAGGATTCATTATTAAGCAGTGGTTTTAAAGATGAATGCTTGATCTCAAATTAATGCATTGGCCTAACATGTGCACCTGTTCAAATCCCCAATAAATAGCTGAAATCCAACATATGACAGTTTGCAATCTGTTGTAACACTTTCCGTGGTCCTTTCTATGATTACTATTATGACCAAATGAACACCTTTTGCTATTTTACCAAATTTAGTGATGCTTGCAAAAACACATACGCTGTTTTATCACTTTGTACTCAAATATTTTAATGATTTATCCCACTAACCAAGAAACACAAGTAGCCAAAGGACCATGTTTTTCATCAAAGTTGAGAAGAGTCAATGGCATTTGGCATTCTTATTCATTGAATTTAATGAAAGGGGCACAAAACTCTAAGTTTTAGAGTGATTTTCTCAAAACCTATTGATCTGGAATGTGGAACCAATTACTTAGATGTAATTAGGTAGTTTCCAGTTTCGCCACCAGGTACCCTGCGTGCAGAGTCTAGTTAAACTGAAGACGTAAATTTTTTCGAAACAAATGCGTGATATATACACATATTTTGTACAAAATGCGTGACATAAACGGCAATCGCGTGCAAAGACCGAACGGAATGCGTTCGCTTTTTTTCACTGTTCGGTATTTTACCGTATCGGCATTTCACAAAAAATGCCTTTTAAAAATATCGACAAAATGCGTGATTTGCGTGATATTTGATCATACAAGCTAAATTAATGCGTGATTTCTATTTTTCCAGCAAATGCGTGACAATCACGCCTAATGCGTGAGGGTTGACAGGGCAGTTGATAAACTCTTTTAAAAGCCCCATTCCCAGATGTTCTTTTACATGTAGATTCCAAATATGACATCAGTTTGACTGAATTTTTAATGATGTAAATCAAGATTATTTCTACTCACATCTAGTCTATTAGAGACGGATTTCTTTTCCATGTAAATTTAACACAGTTACAGTCAGAGAGTCAGCACAATGGGGAATTTCAGGGTACAAAAAGTATTCTTTAATTCTTTTTTAAACATATATTCAACCTGCTGGTGCCTTGAGATACCATATACCATATTTCCTCTTATACCATATACCATATTTTTTACACCTCTTATACCATAAACGATAAATTTTGCCCCCTATTATACAATATACAATAAATTTTCACCCTCTTATACGATATATATATCTATACACCCCCCCCCTCTATTTCGAGACTTGCCTGTACATTTGGCTATCCAATGGCCTTTTAGTAGCCTTTAGTCGCTCATATATACATGTTAGTAATAGAAACGCATGTAATCAAAAGGCAAAAAGGTCAAATGTCCTTTGCGACTCTTTTCGTCCTACTGTGACAAGAGATACTACCGTTCTTTTACCGCAAACAACACCGACATCACATCGTAATATAAAGGATTACTCATAAAATATAGGATACATATATCATAACATATAAGTAACATATACATTGTAATTTAATAATTGGTATTAATTTGCCAAATTGGAAGAAATAAAGAATCATATCATATCATATAGGTTGTTCTAACAAAAATGCAACCTGTAAATAAACTATGACGTTGATTCTTAAGGGAACCTCAGTCTGTGCATGTCTGGTTGGAAAGTCGGATGTATCCACGTTGAAATCAAACTAGTTTTTCGTCATTTCAAAAAATCCAGTTCTCAACACTCCTGCTTTAGACAGCAATCGAAGGACAGAATTATTTGTAATACTGAACCATGATTAAATTCACTTTGTCTATGTTGTGTCATTAGAAAACACTTTTAGAATAACCCATAAAAAGCAATTACGAGATTAGGATTCTATCATTATTGACACATCTATATAGAAATTGATGGTTGTATTTTAGCGTCACCCTGTATATACGATTACAGAATCATAATTGAAAATTCTTTATTCTAAATACATCTTGTTATTCAATAATGTATGTTCCGTTGTTGTTGTTGTTGATTATAATGTTGTTCTTGTCCCTGCCTTGAAGACGTCATTGTCGTAAAGCCATGTGTCGCACCATTTCTTAAAAACACACCCAATGTTATTGCGTAAGCGAAAGTTGTTGGAACAAGTGTCAGCATAAAACCGAACGATCTGTAAAGAGGCATCCATTTGTACCCAATCCAGAAAGATATTCGTCCAAGAACGAATAGAAATGTCATAACAGGAATTACCCATAAATCCTCCAGGTATGTCGCTAGAAATAACTGTGTAAGTATACTTAGTACTAACTGTTCAAGTGTATTCTGCAGATACCTGTTGTCTAGCTTGACATATTGTTCCCCCCTCTCGCTCAGGGGATTGATGGCGGTAGTGTTTGCTCTGGTTATCATGACAACGATTACCCCCGCGAGAAGCATTCCTACTGACAATACTTGACAACGCAAAGTGTACAGGATTCTCTCCCACATTGAGATGAAAACTATTGGTGGCATAAGCCAGCTTCCGAGGAAGAAAGTGCCAGCTATGAAGATAAGACCGGCGTATCTTCCCTTTCTGACGGTAGCTCGTTCCTCTGGTCGCGATTCTCCTGTTTCGCTATCACGTGCAGAACGCACGTTGCTCATGTCACGTGATTAGATTACCCAATCAAAAGTATCCTAGAGCTTAAAAAGAATGTGCTGAAGCTCGTGTATATTGCTTTGAGTTGTCACGTGATGGAAAACTGCAAGAATCACTGTACTCAGCCTTGGAGGTGGTCAACATTAGGTATTACTGTAAATACACACGTTTGGAAATTTTAATCTAAAACAAAACAATAAGTTATTCTCTGTCTTCATTTCACTGTTCGAATCGGAAATGCGTTAGTTATGCGTTGGTGAGGCAATAAGAGGAGGGAAAGCCCCAGAGTTTCAAGATGACAGACATAATTACCTCTCTTGCTTACCACCTTCGTTCGTTCGAATTTTCATCGGCTAGCTATCAAATACTACACTTCGATGGGATGTTATAATTGATATAGGCATATTCCGTACACCTTTCTTTAAATGATGTGAAATGAGAAGCTATGATATTGGTTAACACGCCAGAAATGAACATAATATTATTCGAAGCGTAATTCGAAAATTTTGAAACCGCCATTGATGACGTCATTTGTTTGTCGACTTTTGACCAATCAGCGACCGTGTCATCTCAATACAGATTTACATTATAAGCGTATGTCATCTTTGAACCCTGGTGTTTCTCCCCCTCTGTGAGGCAATGGAGACTTTAAGCAATGCATATAAAATCGAAACGTCAACCAGTTAGCATGAGGTTGCCCTATACGAATGCACGTAGTATTCTCACATAAATTATCGTTCAGTTATAGTATTTACTTAGTCCGTTGCATTGACTACACATACTCGTGTAATATGCCATTGATATTTGTATGGCAGTTTTTTATGATACATATTTAAAACAAGCTCGTTTCTTCGAGGGAAGAATATTTTCTTTATTTCAAGAGAAACCATTGAATAACGTTTTTATTCCATGATCACTCAGATGAAACGCTGCTAAACTTAAGTCAAATTCATTGGCCTGGCCGGAGAAAATTCAGACATATCAAACTTTCTCACTCCAAATGATTTTTTGATCGATGTATTTATTCTTATCTGCGTTTTTGTATTATACGGTACATTTAATCGTTCGACCTTTCTCTTCAATTTCATCAGCTGAAAGTGCAGAGTGTAGCGAAACGTCTCGACTTTCATCTGCTGCCATATTGGAATTTTACTAGCTCATGAAAACAATGTGTATGCTTTAAATTGTTTTATTTACAGATGCGGGGTTTCATCCTCAAATTATAAATTGTGGTATCATTCCTGATATTTAAAACAGATATTTGTAGCAAAATGCAAAGATTAGCACGCGTCAGCTTAAACTAATCGCCATCGAATATTTCAGTGACCGTCATATCGTGGATGGGATGGAAATCCCGGGCGTTTGGACACTGAACCGTATCCCAACGGTGACGTCATTTTTTAACTCTGTACCCGACGCTAAGTTGAGAGTGCGTGTAAATACAGGATATAATTAAGTCACATGGACCAATCAGATTGCAGGGAATTTCACCATCATGGAATAAAGTGCTGTATTGATTCATTGGCTTTGCGTTCACAGTTACGTTGTAAAAATATCGCTAGCTTAAACTCTCTTATGCCTCGTATTCCTAATCTCAAGCTTAGCTATATAGAGCGACCGTGCTCCTTTTGGATCTTACCAGCTATTCGATTAAAATAGGGTTTTCGGTAGGGATGGGACGGTTCGTTTCGGTTCGGTTCGGTTCGGTTTTTCGGATCATCAGCCGTCGGTTCGGTTTTTTCGGTTCGGTTCACTCATTTTAAGGATTTGTATTGATTGACATGATTAGTAGCTGCTTTGTCTCTGACTTCACTGCTGACTGTCACTTTCTTTTAATACAACCAATAAAATAACTAATTTATGCTTGTAGAAACCTTTATTCTGTGAGGAAGTCATGACTAGTCATGATTGTATAAGTTTAGTGAGTTTACACTTTCATGTTTTTCTTTAGAAAAACTAATATGTCCACTGCTTCTGGTTTCAATTGGGCCCTTTGGGCTGTTACAATGTCACCAGCCGTCGAGAAGACCCTTTCACTCGGGACCGATGTCGCCGGAATACCCAAAAGAACCCTGGCAACCTCAGCCAACCTGGGATATTGATACTCATTAACTTTCCACCATAGTAGTGGGTCTGCATCCATTGCTATAGCAGCAGCATTGCGGTATGAATCCACTTCTGTCTGGATAAGTTCTAGTGGTGATTTTCCTTGCACGACCTGCAACATAGGCAATAGAACATTCAACTTAAATAACTTGAAAAATATACCACAGTATTTAATAGTTAACTAAATATGTAAGCAGTAAGCACAAGTGCTTAAGGACAAACCAAATGACTACAAAACAATAAGAAAATGAAACATCTAAGAGCTCACTGTCAAATGGAAAGAAAACATAATATACAGTATAGTATATGCAATACCCTTTCAACGTATACATCTTGAAATATTGTTGCCATTGCCGACTTAGATTCTGCCTGATTTCTAGGTGATGATTCATCATACTGTTGTGCTGGAAGAACTGGTTGGGCAGGAGTTTGTATCTGTGGAACCAGCTGATCTTTATGAAAGTGTGGTAGCATGGGAAGACTAGCTACAGTTTGGTGAAGCTGAGGAGGAATGTCAAGTTGAGGTAGCTGTGGATGACCTTCTACAAGCTGGGGTAGTTGGGGAAGTGCAGGAACATCATTGACTGTTTGTTCCTTGGGTTCTTGTTTAACCTCCTGGAATGTTATTATGAATATTAATTAATAATAATTATACTAAGTTTATTTAAAAAAATATAAATCATATCATCTTGTTTTTTAAATTTGCTTTTTGAAAGATATACTCTACATGCATATCTTATTTTCTTGTATTAATGTACATGAACAAATTGTCATTTAAACTACCTTAATACTTTGCTGCAACTCAAGTGTTCTCTGCACCAACTTGTCAAAGATTTGGTCTCGCTTCACATCTGAGATTTGTGGTAATTGTTTGAAGCGTGGGTCAACAGCAGAACATTCCCACAAGAACTGGGAAACACTAGGATCAGTGTACCTGCGAATGAACAAGGAGAAAATTTACAAGATATTTGTAATGATACTACTCAAAGTTAAACTATGTTATCCTCATAGCAAAATGTGGTATACAAAAAATACTATAAATAAATATAATCTTGAATCCTATAACATCAATGAGTTAAACTATAATTTTAAAATGGAACTCTCCAAGAGAGACATCTACAACAGTAAAACATGTAATATTATTTTTACCTGAAATAAAATAATTTTAATAAAAAGGGATTAGTGTACCTCTTTAACAAGTCCTGAACTATTGCAGCTTTCACTGTGGCAACCAACTCAGAATCTGTCTGTGGACGAGGTTGCATAGCTGTCTTCAAAACTTCAACTGTAGGCAACATGATTGAGACTGTTGGATGTTGTTGATCACACAGCATATTTGTGATGGTCAACATTGGTTTGAGAACATCAACCAATACCTCACAGTTTGATATGTCATCCTCTGTAAGCGTCACCACATCTTTGACTCCTTTTCGGACATCTTTCAAGCTAAGTGTTGCTGCCACTGCTGTCTGCTGTTCAAGATAGCGGTCTAACATCTGATACGTACTATTCCAGCGTGTTTGAACATCTTGGATAAGTTTGTGGACTGGAACTTGCAGAAGTTTCTGCTGAGTGGTCAGCAAGTGGGAAGCAATTGCAGAATGGTTAAAGAACGACACTATTTTCCTCACCTTCGCTGTCAAAGCTGCCATAGCTACAAAACAAATGAAATGAACTGGATGACTTTGATTATTTTGTCGTTTACATGTTCCAAGTTTTACATGAATAAACAAGTTCTTAGTTCTTACATGTATTTTTTGATATTGTTATATGTATACATACAAATGCCAAACTGTATATTTTTTGATATTGTTATTTTTAAACATACAAATGCCAAGCTATATAATTTTATTGATTTATATTTTATTTTACTTTTACTTTAGACTTAGATATACATCATGTTTTACATACCTGGAGCTTTCATAGCCCGTTGAGAAGCAAGGTTCAGAGTATGCGCCAAACAGAAAATATGTGGAGTCATATTAGCTTCTCTACCTGCTACTCCCATGTTTGAGGCGTTGTCAGTTGTTATTGGAATTGTTAAAAGAGGTCTGGCCAATTTCCATTCATGTTTAGACTCGGTGAGGATACTTGCAACATTGACCCCAGTGTGGCTAACGGGTAGTTCTCGTGTTTGTAAGACATAGTTCTCGATTCCCCATGAGTTGTTAATAAAGTGGGCAGTTATAGTCATGAAGGAGTGTGTGGCCCTTGACGTCCACCCATCTGTTGTAAGAGCAATAGATCTTGCTAATGACAATGCTTTCTCAACTTGGCCTCTCGTCTCCTTGTATAAGTCAGGAATTATAGTGTCACTGTAGAATTTGCGGGTTCTGAGTTGATATCTTGGGTCCATAGTTTTCACAAGATTTTTGAAGCCAGGATTCTCAACCACACTATAAGGCCTCATGTCAGCAGCAATGAACTTCCCTATCGACTTGTCTATAAGGCTGCTTCTTGGACTCCCTGGTGGATAATAATCTTTCAGTGTCTGGGGCAATGTCCTCTGTTGTTTACTAGTGCTGGTACATGTAGGGGGGGCTGAAAGTGCCCTCTTTAACTTAGAAACAGGATTGGGCGGGGGAAACACAGGTAGGGGGTTACCTGGGTTAGGTTGGTTTTGTACCTGGGTTTGTCTTGATGACTCTAAACTCACGTTCTCGTGGTGTCTTTTCAAATGTTGGGACATCTGGGACGTATTTCCTGAAAAAGGAAGTCAAATATGTATGAACTATATTGATGAAACATATCACAGGCAACAAAGACAATGTTAAACGAGTCGGTAAAACATTTTTTGAAGAAGTACAATTGAAGTGAAAATGAATTCTGCTGTCGCGCTGAAAATGAAATTGAAAAAAGCTTTCGTTTACCTTTACTGTATGAGACTAATATTTTGCACAGTTTACATATTGTTTTATCAGTGAGCAACTTCCCATCGACTTCTGCGAACCCAAAGTACGTCCAAACGGCTGATTTTAGCTTTGTGGGGGCTGAAATAATCTTCATTTCTTTGGGGAATATGGGAATTTGAGACGCCATATTGGAATGTATTGTGAGTGCGCACAAAATAATACCCTATATCGAACCTGCGCAAATATAAATTTGCGCAAATCTTTGTATCAATTATGCCACGTTATAACAATATTTTTTATAGATGGAATTTTATGTTATAGTATTTCATGAACAATACATATTATTTAGAATACACGACTAAAGAATATAGTACCAGGGACCACATGATTGATTACTCGAGGATACGAATACGCGGATACGAAACGAATATAGTAAACGAGTGAGCTAGCAACAGACAAGACAGACAAGGTAGGGACTAGGTATATCAAAAATGTTGCTGTTAAACAGTGTTTTTAACTGTTTTATTGATACTTGACCAATGAAATATTAATCCGAAAACGATCCGAAAAGCTGATCCGAAAGTAGGGCCGTGATCCGAAAACCGATCCGAAGGGTATGAACCGCGGTTTTTCGGTATTTCGGTTATCCGTCCCACCCCTAGTTTTCGGTGCTTGCATACTCACCCAAGTTCCTTGTTTTGATGCTATGTGCGGTTATAATTTGCGTATTTTCAATTCATCTAAGTAAAAATATCAAAACCATTACCTTTTTACCGTCGATATAGACTCTGTTGAAAAACACCAGTCATTGTTTATTCAGATTTTTAAACTAGACTTCTACTCAAAAGTGGACTTTACTTTTCGTAATAGAGTCAAGTTGAGATATCGCGTATACAACATATATACTTTACTATACGGGGTTATCTGTCAAGGAGAAAGAACGAACAGTGAATTTTATATATTTAAGATTTGAATTTCTATATTGTAAAATAAGTAATACCCACCAGTGATAAGTTTTATATTAATGAAAGAATGGATTGACACTACCTGAGCGTTTTCATAATGTAAACAAATGACAATAATTTTGCTCTTTTCATTTCTGGTCATGAATATTTTCAAAATGTCCAGCAGTTCCTGACACTATTTTACAACAATCATTCAAATTCGTGTAGGTTATTTGCTCAATATTAATTACTCTGCATAAACCTAGCAAAAAACTACACAAACAAATAAGCAGATAAACAAACAAACAAACAAACAAAAACTTCATACAGGTAATTGATTAAGCAAATTTTAAGCAAGAATGACCGAGTCTTTTGGAGCATAGCAAAAACTTTATGATAACTGTTAAGTCAGGCCCCTGGCGTATCCAATATTTGGATATCGACAGGTCATTATTAAAAGTATATGGTTATATTGACAATATGAAACAAATTAATTAAGATTGTGTCCACGTGAGAAACTAAACACTTGCTAGTAAAATCAGCTGGTTGAAAAAAAACAAGGTTTGATATATGAACGGTTTTAATCATTGGACTTAGTGCGTTGCTTGTAAAATATATCACAAAAGATCGAACCTCCTTGAACCATTTTTTGTTTTTACACTTTTTGGGGTCCGGGATATATTTTGCAATAACTTTGCAACCAGAGAAACTTTTTTAATTCAGACTTCAGTTTTACATAGGTTTATCAATTAGCTTTCAGAATATGTATTCATTAGCTATCATAAGTATGGGTAAACCCAATCATAGCGTAACATTTCGTAGCATAACACTATTGTATTTATTGAATATGTTTCGGTGATAGTGATGTTCTCTGGCCTCAGCTGGTAGCACAAAAAGTCAACATACGATTTACACCTGTTTTGTTTACTAAAGGAATTGAATAAATTGAGGATAGGATGGAATTTTATGTTGACCGAATGATAATTTATTGCTGATATAATTATTGCAAACCCAAAAAACCATCTAAGGGTTAAACCAATCATAATCTAGGAGGACTTTCCGCGAGCCAGAATTTGTTCATAATCACAGTTGAATGCTATATGGAAATATATATTTACATTCCAGATGTAAAACGTTTGAGTATCTCGGATGTTTTGGGGTTTGGCTAGCCTCATTATTCTGTTTTATGTGTTTTATGACTTGTGTTTCATTTACGCAAAATCATAAAAGAGAATCAATTGTAAACCTATTTGTATTGATCTGCACGCAACAATTCCAAAGGGAAAGGACAAATACTTGGTAAGAAAACACCAAGAAAAAACATCTAACGGTACACCATTCACAAACCCCAACTATCACAAGCCATAATTTCACGTGAAAACAAAAAATATCTAATGAGACGATGCTATTAAAGTTCATAAATTTCTGACAAAATGAAAATAGCAATACAGTTGCAACATGTGTTATATCATTTTATTTTAAATTTATCTAATTTTGTTGATAAAACATTTATATCACAATATAAACCTTTTTGCACAACCTGTACATGTATCAGGATTCTTGGTAAAGCGTAAATCACAATTATTACCACCTTGCCGGGCCAGTTCTAGGGGTTTTAGTGCTAGTTTAGAAGGCATTCATTTACTATATATTCGTTTAGCAATATGTGACGTCATAGTGGCGGTCCATAATGGCAGTCAATAATGCAATTAATGACCGGCAATTTTCCCCGGGAAATTAGATATCGTTCAGTGCGAAAGATTTTCTTGCTGTTTCAGCCCTGGTCATTAAAGGTGGTAATAATACTAATAACGTCATTTCTGCTGGCAAAATAGTGAAATATTGGACCGAGGGCCAAAGGCCGAAGGCCCCCGGTCCAATATTTCACTATATTGTCCTTCGAAATGACGTTATTGTACTATTATTTCAATAGCGATTGATGGGTCATAATGTAAAGAATTAAATGGCAAGAACACAATGATTTTTGTCTCGTTATGTCTATTTTAAAAAGGTAACAATGTTATTGTACCTCATATTGTATTTAAGAAATATAGACCGAAGAGCAGGGCTACTAGTTTCGAATACACCCCGCAGGGTCTAGGCACAAACGTGTTCTGTAAAACGTGTTCGAAAGCTTTTGTGCCTAGACCTAAGGGGTGTACTCGAAACTAGTAGTCCTGCTCTGAGGTCTTTATTACGATTCGAACATGAAAACTCACCAGCATATTGCAAAAATGTCAATTTCGATGTTCATTTCCATTTTTTTCATTTCTACTTCCGGTTGAGCGTTTGGCAGTTCCAATTTGTTTACTTACCTCCTGACCCCAACTTAAGTTTTTTATTGACATTTCGGCCTATTTTATTGGTTTCACGCATATCTACTACATTGATAACAGTTGAGATTACAGTTTACAAATGCTCCGACAGAAAAGTTTGGCTCCGGACAATTTTTCCCTGCCATTTTGAATTTTGAAGACGAGGGGGGATGCGAAAAGAACGGAACGGCCTAAACTGACCAATGAGTGCACTGAACGAAACACTTAGTACAGAGCCGGGGAATTGAACTCGAATATAACCCAGCTGAAGCATTGACTTTGTGCACAGTTTATAGAAGGCATGAATACAGTCAATTGTATTTCAAGCAAATGTCTATTTTAAAAATGTAACAATGTTATTGTACCTCATATTGTATTTGTATTTCAAGCATATGTCTATTTTAAAAAGGTAACAACATTATTGTACCTCATATTGTATTTGTATTTCAAGCATAGAGTATATTTTGCTAATACTATACCCTATTCACTAAATATATTCTTGTTAATCGAATCCAGTTGCACAATTAACAATACGACAGCTAAACTATGAACTGATTTCCGAAGCTTTTAGGAAATTGTATAAATCATCATTACAGTATTGGCCACAAATCAGCAAATATGTACTGGAATTATATGCAATTTTGGAAACATTGTATGAATGAAAGCTGCATCATAAACGAAAATATTTTTTGAAATCCTGTGCAGAAAATATTTACAAAGCTATCATTCAGTACCAAAGACTAAATACAATGCACCGATATCATAAAACTATATATAGCAGTGTAAAGTAGTGTATCTCCTTAAAATAATTATCATATATGCAATAATCCTATCATTTGTAACGTTTCTGAAAGCTCTGCAATCAAATCATCTCCTTTGTCCAAAACCACAGAGTGAAAACTGTAATTTTATACATTTGCATTCAAAAATAAGTCTCTTTCCCCAAGGGCCATATTCAATTGCTTAAATGTTTTTTTCATTGCTCAAATTGCTAACAATGGTATAACATTTTGATTTGAATGTTATATGATCCACCACAGGTTCCCCCCAGTGTTCTCTTTCTCGTCATACCAGTCTCTTGGTTTCCCTTTAAATGTCAAACTCTTCTAATTTTGGAGTCCTTTATTTGTTCTTTTTATTTCGTGGAAACATAATTTTCTCAAGGTGCAACATTGGAATCTCAAATGTCAATGTAACCAGGATACTTGCAGCTATCGTTACACATAGGACTGCGCAAAACAGAAACACCTGAAATTGTAAATTTTTGAAATAGAGAGCGATATACTAAAAGAATACTAGAGGATATTGTTACACAGAGAATTGCACCACAAAACAGCAACACCTAAAATTGTATATTTATTTTTGGACTTAAGAGTGGCACACTATATGTATACTTGCAGCTATTGTTGCACATAGGATTGCGCAAAAAAAGAGAAACACCCGAAAGAATAAATTATTGAAATACTGAGTGATATGGTATAAGTTTACTTGAAGCTAATGTTAGGATTGCGCAAAACAGAAACACCCGAAAGTGTGATTAATTGCAATCGAGAGAGATACTATAATCTAAAGTCTTTAGTACACTATTAGTATTATATGTTATTAGTAACATTGCAAAACGAACAAGTGATTAAAAAATATATCTACCAATTCTGGAAATATCCTCATATACTGTAGCTGTCTCCTGTTGTAGTGATAATAGTACATGACCATTGGATGGATCAAGTATCCAGTGTACGTCAACTTAGAAAGAGGGATCCAAACTCGCCATGACATAAGCTCGTTTACCACTCCTGAAATACATGCAAGTCTTTAATTGGCTATAGCCAAAGGCCATTGGATATTACATGTTTCATAAGAAGAGTGTCAATTCAAAATAATGATCCAAACTCGTGACATGAACTCGTTCACGACTCCTAAAAACATGGCTCGTCTTTAATTGGCAATATACAATGATAATTGGAGGTTACAAGTAACAATTAATGTATCATTAAAATAAGCTGCAATATGATAAAATAACACTGAATGTATTGAATGATATTAGGAAATATACCATAGGAATTGCTAAAAATTACATTGCATGAAAAGTATTGCATAATAGAACATAATATTCTGAACCTCCTTAATGTTAGGTACATTTTGCTGAAGAAGTAGAAGAAACGTTTGTTGTGAAAATCTAGCCATCTAATTTTAATTTTAAACGAGTGGAAATTTGAGGTACATTTCATAATCTGATTCTGAGTCACCTAGAGTTTGTATAATGATTGAAGTCAAACCCTTGAGAGAGCCAAAGATGTACTATTCCTTCTATATAAATGAGATGAAAAACAAGAGCGGATATAGCCTACCTTAGATTAGCACGTGCAATGCGCACCTGTGAAGAGTGAGCGGAGCAAACGTTGCCCTTGAGCAATGCAAAGAGAATGGATGCCCGGGCTAGAGGGAAAGGTCACCGCAAAGAGAGTGACATTTGATCCCACTAAGTGGGACTTGAATGATTCCGTATCCAGACTGAATGATCTAAGATAATTTCACTTAAATTAATGCCCCCTAGGAAAAAATCATATCTTCTGCACATTTGCCTGGTAAAGTCAAGCTTGAAAGACAATACATCAGACTTATTTTTAAGAGCCGTACCTCCATATCCAGTGATACACGTCAAGCAAATCCAAGCAACCCCAAGGGCAAAGATATGTCTCTGGAAGGCAAGGTATGTAACAGCCACCGCTCCCTCAAATGGCGTGCCAAGTGGCCTAAAGTTCCCATAAATTGCAGCATGTATCAATCCCATCGCAACGACCCATCCTATTGCTTGCACCCACTAAAAGCGATTGAGAAATATAGACTATTAGATATATATATGGTGGCATTTCAAAAATAAATATTTATTGTATAAATGAAAACATGACATGTTATAAATCAGTGGATAGGGAATTAAATTATCTTTAATTTGTTATATTATAAGCTAAAATGTAATATTTTGTCTGTTGACCAGCGTCCATAATACAATAGACGTCACTTTCGTTTCAAAAGGACCTCGAGTTGTAAATGGATTGTGGAAGTTTTTCATGCAGTTTGATTATGCTTTCATCCAAAAAACGTCAATACACTTTTAAAAATGTTGACTGTAAGATTGCACCATTTAATACCCCCAAAAATATATCATATTCAAGGATTATCCATGGATTAACAGCAAGGTATTTTCATATTTCAAACTTCAGAGGATTAGGAATAATTGATCCTAACTGATTTTGAATAATAAAGATACTATTCTAACTAAGTTTTTTGTAGGCCAATAATTTCTCAAATTGTGAAACTGAACACATTTCTTTATCCCTAGAATTTTCTCTTTGAGGAATTTCCCATAGAAATCCAAGATACGGTTCCAAGCAGATTTTGATATAACAGGAAAGTCAATCTTTAAAACACAACTTATTGGGTTTCGATATTAACCGAAACAACTCTGACATCTCTCATAAAACTCACCCATTTCATATTTATTTTTGCTTTTGTTCTCCATATAAAGTATCCTAGCCATATACCAATGATATATGGCCCAATCCTCGTATATGGCTTTATGTAGTCCTGGACAAAGTCCCCTTTGCCCTGGGCATGTAGAACGCTGATTGCAATGATACTTCCGAGGAACGAAAGTCCAGTGAGGATATAGCCAACAACAGGTTTCCTAAGGGTTGAGAAAGAAATGATACAAAAATGTTAAATACATTGTATCTAAATGGAGTAGGGTTGTTTGTCCATGGGACATATGCATTACTAGATGAGAGTTAATGTTTCATTTAGGAGGATATATACAGGGCGTTTATAAAGTTCTTGCAAGTACTCTAAAACAATTTGTTTGTCAGTCAATCTAGCTGAGGTTTTTACTCAATATACCTCCATTATTCATGAATAAGTTCATGAAGAAATAAAGTTATGACTTCTATAGTAACACGAGTCGGGGGTAGCCGGAGCAGGCAAAAAAGGATCTTTTTTGTTTGAACGTTCACAAGTTAATGATACACCAGATATTGACTTATCCAATAACAATTTAAAATCAAAAAGTTTGAACATATACAAATAAGATTAAATTTTATATTCACGTGTCTTTGATAATTGAAATATTATGCAAGAAAGAACATGTGGATTATAATCGTGTGCAAAACATGCGTTATCCTTTGATTTGAAGTTGATATAATTGTACTCGACATTTATATGTTTTATTTAAACACACTTCACGAAATCAGCGGGTTTTTCATTTCCAAAACGATAAGAAGCACATTCTCATACCATCTTAGGTAGAATCATATTAAAGACAGAGCCTCCACTATAAAAGCAGCTTGACCAGTAAAAATGGAGTCATTCTGAATTTGAAAATATTAGGAATATAAAAAATTCTAATCAAGAGGAATAATTTTGATTTTCTGTTAGTTGTAGCCAACAGATCACCATAAAAATTGTCACAGATGTTTATGAATACATTCTCCTTGAAATCTATTAATCAATTCTTGCAATTATGCATTACTTTTTTAGAAATCCTAATTTGAAAATTTTTTTAATTAAGAGGAGTGGCCTAATTCAAATTTCAACCAATGACGTCAGGTATTCAGGGTCACATGATGTAAAGTTTGTTTGTAAATCTTTCAGAAGCACATGTTATAAGTACCATTTCAATAAAACATAATTCATACTACTGTTAATCATAAGAGATGTGTCATTTACTTACCTAACATATGGTATATTAAAAATATGACTCCAAAGACATTATAATTACAAAATCCAATGTATTTGCTTGATAAATGACTTCAAGGTAACTGGACATACAAATACACACCACAGCCTTTTGTACGAGTTGTGGACCACTAAGTCAAACACCCTGAAGTACTTTACGCAAACAATCAAATTAAGTCTTGCCTGAACCGGGGATCGAATCCGGAACCTAAATGCGTAAGAGGTACCTGTGCTGCCGCTTAGCTACACGGGTGGACTAAATAAGTGGGTTATTGTACACGGGTAGTACAATAAGTGGAAATTACATAATCATATCTAGAAGATAAGGAAACATTTTGACTACAGAGAGTCTTTCATGATCAACCGTATCATACACATCCCCTTTTCAGCCTAAATGTATACTCACTTGTACAAGGCAAATACGAATACAGGTGCGGCAATATAAAACTGCATGTCGTTAGCAAGGTACCACGCCCATCCCATGCACTGAAAATAGAAATGCGAAAAGGAATGAGTGCGGCAATATAGAACTGCATGTCGTTAGCAAGGTACAACGCCCACCATGCACTGAAAATAGAAATGCGAAAGGGATAAGAGTGCAGCAATATAGAACTGCATGTCGTTAGCAAAGTACCACGCCCATCCCATGTACTGAAAATAGAAATGCGAAAAGGAATGAGTACGGCAATATAGAACTGCATGTCGTTAGCAAGGTACAACGCCTACCATGTACTGAAAATAGAAATGGGAAAGGGATAAGAGTGCAGCAATATAGAACTGCATGTCGTTATCAAGATACCAAGGGAGATATTGTATTTGAGATCAAAAAGAATAGTCGTCACCCCCATAGATCTGATTCTGCATTTTATTAATATAATATTCAAATAGCTAATATTAAACCAGGTACATATACATTGTTATTATAGGCCTAAAGAAGTAACTATTTCTAAACTTACCAATGGGCCTGGTATATATAGATTGTTGATATATAGCAGATTAGTCCACCAGTGCATTCGGCATCCTTCAACTTCGTTCATGCGAAGGGGCCAAAGTGGGCCGTCGCCCGTATATTTGAAAAGGGTGGCCAAAAACATGATGAGTATCATATAAACTGGAGTTAACCTATAAATCAAAATGAAAACATCGATAATAAGAAGTAATTTTTCTTCTGTAATAAAACAAAAATTTAAGATTCACAATTAAAAGAACAAGAAAAATATTGTAGATAATGACTTAATGTGTAAAGAATCAATATATAGTTTTCTTTCTCCACCTTCGAGGAAACACACCAACAATTCAAGACAGCAAGACCAGGTAACATTCCATTCAAACAAAATACCATTGCAATGCATGTCGAAGAATTAAACAAAATGATAACCAATGCTCTTGACAACTAAAAGTTGGAGATACCAAAAACCTCTTCACATTAGTCATACTATTTAAAAAACAATGATGGCCATCAAGAAATAGCAATACCCGTTTCTTGTTTTACAACGACCTAATTATAAGAGTTTTATGTCATGGTCAGGAAAAATATGAGTCTACATCAGTCATACGGAAATCAAAGTAACTAAAAATCATAATAACAAGATATCAATATAAGAAAGGGCCAGTAATGCCATATTGATTCAGCCCTGACAATATGTAGCCATCAATAGTATTGCATTGTTGACGTAAAACCTTTTTTACTTTTTCTTTAATTCAGATGTTTTACTATTTACAATTTTGTCACATAAAAGTCGTTTGTGTTCAATACATTTATTACAAGACGTATTTTCACAATCTTTGAGGTTTTCATTCAGGTTTTGTAGTTTTTTGTATATTTACGTTCTCAGATATCCAAGTTCACATCAATAATTAAAGAATTAAAACTTATATAAATAAGTTATTATTAAATAAGTTAAATTGAAACATTTTTCAAAAAATATAGGAATAAATGAGCTGACTATACTACATACAGACGACAAAAAAGACAAAACGAGAAAGGATATTATTTTTCAAATAACCATATTCTACTTTCATCGCTCCAGTTCATAGTTTACATTCATATAGAATAAAACTCTACGACCGAGATACATTGTTCCTTTCTACTTGTGGTTTTTGGAATAGTCAGTCTAGTTTTCCACTTTATACCCTTATGTTTCCATACCTCCAAAACCTGTGGAAGAAGTACAATCCCATCTGCTTGAGCTGTAATCTCCCACCTTGTCTGTCCAGTGTCTTCAAGAAGGAAATGGCAACAAGGAAGCCACTGAAAATGTATTTAACCAACATTCAAAAGAAAAGTTTTCGCGATTATGTGTTTTATGTACATAAAAGTACAATTTACTTTCTAAAAATATCAACGGTTTCTTTGCCTAAATACTAGCCTCCTTTTTGTACCCCGGATGCCCCGAATCTGATAAATCCCAGAAACGAGTCCCCCTTTTGTATGTTTACGTTTGCAATGATTCGGGTAAAACTCAATGCATATCGGATGAATATATAAGAAAAAATCAGACTATATTTTGACCATTTTGCCCCATAACGTTTATTTTACAAGTACTTTTCACATGTTTAAATATTTTGGCCATAGCCATGGGCTTGCGAGAATTCAATACATACGAATTTAGCGAATTTATTTGATGATATTCAATGAAAGATAACTTAGCTATCGAACACAAACCTTCATAATGAATCGACTGCCAGCTTGATATTTTTGAGATCTCTGTTATGATATTTTTGAATAATACTATACCTTAAAAGGAAGAATGAATCGACTGCAAGCTGCATATTTGTGAGAGCTCTGTTATGGTATTTACCATAGTACTCAGGATACATCCAAAAATGGTAATTTTCTGTAAATAATTATTAAGCCTCTTGTATCGTCTAATCAGTGTGTCCTGTCAAATATGTATGTCTAGACTGGATAATATAGCATATATTTCATATTGGATTACTTTATGGTATTTTGAAATTGAAAAGCAGTAACAAATAGTAGAATGGGCTTTTCTAAATCATAATTGCAAAGGAGATAACATTAAGATAATTTAGTTTTTTTGTCCTTTGTATTCACCATAATATGCTTTCAGCTTTACATTTCGATTGTATGTTTGAATTAAATTATAAATCATATGTAACATTAAACTTGTCCAACTAAAATTATAAGCATACTAACCAAGAGATACCCCCATATCTCCCAAATAGATTCCCAATTGAAATGTATGTCCGAGTATGATATATGCCATACTCAGGAATCGTATACAATTTAGGGCGAGATACGAGCCTTTTGGAGCGTCAACACTCATCAGTTGCGGAAGATTGCTATACACTGAGAAGGCAAGAATGATTTGAATACCAACTCCTATAATTAAAAGAGAGGAGGATATACATGTTGACAAATCATATACAATTTAGTGCGAGATACGACCCTTTGGGAGCATGAACACTCATCAGTTGGGGAAGATTGCTATACACTGAGAAGGCAAGAATGATTTGAATACCAACTCCTATAATATAAAGAGAGTAGGATATACGACATGTTGACAAATCATATACAATTGAGGGCGAGATGAGCCTTTGGGAGCATCAACACTCATCAGTTGGGGAAGATTGCTGTACACTGAGAAGGCAAGAATGATTTGAATACCAACTCCTATAATATAAAGAAAGTAGGATATACGATTTGTTGACAAATCATATACAATTTAGGGCGAGATACGAGCCTTTGGGAGCATGAACACTCATCAGTTGGGGAAGATTGCTATACACTGAGAAGGCAAGAATGATTTGAATACCAACTCCTGTAATATAAAGAGAGTAGGATATACGACATGTTGACAAATCATATACAATTTAGGGCGAGATACGAGCCTTTGGGAGCATCAACACTCATCAGTTGGGGAAGATTGCTGTACACTGAGAAGGCAAGAATGATTCGAATACCAACTCCTATAATATAAAGAAAGTAGGATATACGATTTGTTGACAAATCATATACAATTTAGGGCGAGATACGAGCCTTTGGGAGCATGAACACTCATCAGTTGGGGAAGATTGCTATACACCGATAAGGCAAGAATGATTCGAATACCAACTCCTGTAATATAAATTTTGAATTATAATGTACATTTATGTGATATAGATATGGACTTTAATGGATTTGCTATCAAAGTCAACAAAGCAGAGATATTTTTCCATTTATTAAGTAACTTAGATTTAATAGTCTAAAATGATAATACTACGTTATTAAGAAAAGATCATTGGCGTTTTTTAGAAGTATTCATTATCAAGTCAAATTTTCTCTGAAACCTTCTAATTTTGTGCCCGTCAGCCTTTGATGATAAAATCTAGTAGATAGTTAGCATGGTCTGAGTTGGTCAATAAATTGAAAAATACCTATGTTATGGTATTCACCATAACATAGGTATTTTATTTTACCTGGGCTGTATGGTTTTGGTTTGTGACTTGGGAGTGGGACATTAGCAGTCACGATCTTAACATTCCCGTTGCTAATACCATTAGTTGCAGCATCCTCCTTTTTAGCACCAGGAGTCACGTTTTTAACACTTCCGTTGGTGACCCCGTTAGTTGAAGCATATTCCTTTCTCGCATCGTTTAGATGCAATGTAGTATAAACATGGTTCACTTCATCTAGAACCTTCTCTTGATTCAATGTAGTATAAGTATGGTTCGCTTCATTTGAAACCTTCTCTGTGTAATAAACACCGTTGGGTTGGTTTTTGGATGTAAAACTTGTCGCTTGAGTGCCATGTTCATCATATGCGTGATTGACTTTTGAGGTGGTTTCTTTGTATATTTCGGCCTCTTTCTCGTGTTGTTTTCGTTTAGGTGTAATGTAAAATATATCCATCGCCGTAGCTCCTAGCACAATTGCAACAAAAATGCTGATAATGCACCTGAAAATGTAAAAAAATTATTCATAGTTGATAAGTCAATGTTCCATGTATCACGCGACTGATTAAAATAGTCTTCGAGAACATGAATATGAACCCAGGTTCGGTAACGTCGGAGTTTATATCACGAAGATGGCCGAAGACGATTCAAGCAGCCAATCAAAAAGGGTTCGGGCTAAAGTAACTACCATGAACTATAATGAGAGTTTTAGTATTCTTATCCAATAAATGTCAGCTACTAATCAAAATACAATTATAAATTCAAACTATTGGAAGATGACTTAATAGCTGACTAAATATATATGAATCCACATATTACTCACAAGGCTACAATGGCCCCCGGGTCGTCTTTGATCAATCCTCTACCAGATGTGGGGTTTTCTACAGATATAACACCAAATGAAGTTTCGCCATCATTCAGCATTTGGTGTACATCAGACGCTTTGCAGCTATCAGGTGCGCATACCCCAAATGTAATGGTGAACTAAATAAAATGAAATATATGCATACATGTTCTATTCAGTAGAAAAGTGTTAAGTACTATGATTGTAACAACAAACTTTCACAAACCTCCCAATGTAAGCCATCTGACAAACTATTATTTATAAGTATACCCATACCCTTAGTAAGATATTTATCATGGAAATAACTCCGTTCAAAATTACGTGTCTCCATAATATAATTTACTGTGTAGAGGAAAATCCCAGATATTCCTCAAAAAAGCTTACCCCATCTAAGGCAAGTATGATAACTCGGTAGTACTGCGCCTTGAAGTTTGCATGGAGGCTAACATCTCTTATTGGTATTCTGTCGTCATTATATTCAGTATAGTTGAACACCTTGTTATCGACCTTTAAGGACATACATAGATCATAGTCTCCATTCCAGAACCCTTTGCCGCTTGCAATACCTGCTGGTGCCACCGCATCGGCATCAAGCACTGCAAAAAGGATGTCTTACAAACTAGAATTAAACACCTTGTTATCGACTTTCAGGGACAAATATAGGTCATGGTCTCCATTCCGAAACCCTTTGCCGCTTACTATACTCGCTGGTGCAACCGCATCGGCATCGAAAACTACAAAAATGTCCTAAAAGTAATGTTAAAAACCTTGCTCTCCACTTTCAGGGACATACAAAGGTCATAGTCTCCATTCCAGAACGACTTGCCGCTTGCAACACCCGCTGGTGTAACCGCATCGGCATCAAGCACTGCAAAAAGGATGTCTTACAAGTAGATTTAAACACTTTAATATCGACTTTCAGGGACAAACATAGGTCATAGTCTCCATTCCAAAACACTTTGCCACTTGCAATACCCGCTGGTGCAACCGCATCGGCATCGAGCACTACAAAAGGGATGTCTTACAAGTAGAATTAAACGCTTTATTATCGACTTTCAGGGACAAACATAGGTCATAGTCTCCATTCCAAAACCCCCTGCCACTTGCTATACCCGCTGGTGCAACCGCATCGGCATCAAACACTACAAAAAATCTCTTACAAGTAATGTTCAATACCTCGCTATCCACTTTCAGGGACATACAAAGGTCATAGTCTCCATTCAAAATCCCTTTGCCGCTTGCTATACCGGCTGGTGGAACCGCATCCGCATAGACCACTACAAAAAAGGATATCTCACAAGTAAAGTTAAACACCTTGTTATCCATTTTAGGGACATACAAAGGTCATAGTCTCCATTCCAGAACCCTTTGCCACTTGCAATACCCGCTGGTGCAACCGCATCGGCATCAAGCACTACAAAATAAATGTCTTACAAGTAAAGTTAAACACCTTGTTATCCACTTTTCAGGACATACAAAGGTCATAGTCTCCATTCCAAAACCCTTTGCCGCTTGCAATACCGGCATCAGGAACTGCATCGGCATCAGGAACAACAAAAAGATGTCTCATAAGTAAGGTCTCATCATTCATGGAAATGTCATTGTAATCACCCACTTGTCCTTAGTTTACAAATCATTCATTTTCCTATTTTGGATTTTTCCTTTGTTACATATTAGAAATATATAGTATAAAATTCATTTTTCAAATCTGAAAAAACCCTTCATCGATATACAAAAGGTTTTTGGTGTTTCATATGGCATGGCTAAATCATATTACAGAGAGACACAAAACTGCAGCCCTCTGATTTTGGAAAAGGTTTCTTGTTATAATAGAATGTATTTGAAAAAAAACGTTTGTGAAGTAAGATGCTATCCAGGGGCGGATCTGGGAACCAACAAGGGGGGGGGGGGCAAAATTTCAGGTCAGAGAAAAAAAGTTTGGGCCCCCAAAACGCAAAAGTGGGCCCAAATTTTGAAATTTTGAGGCCCATTTTCTTCAAAATTTGGCCTGAATTGAAAAAATAAGGCCTTAAAAGGCCCAGTAATGACCAAAAAGGCAGACTTTTTGGGGCCTTAAGGCCTTTTTCGGCCCAACATTTTTTTGCCCCCCCCCCCCCTAATCCGCCAGTGCTATCTACAGCTTGTACAGGGCACTAACGGTCTTGAGGTTTTGACAAAGAAAATGTTTTACATATAGGTTTGTCCAAGCCCAAATCATTCGAAATTCCAGTGAATACTATGCCAAATCGGTAATACTTTAACTAAAATGTTGGTATAGATTGAAGTTATTCTTCATTATGAGTGTATATCAGCGATCCAGAAATGACCCAAATATAGACAAATAAAAATAAATTTCTTCAATAAATTATATTTTGTTCAATCAAATGTAAAGACATGACTATAATGCTAATGATAAAACATATACATACTTAAGGTAATTTCTGGTGGCACCGACTGATTGGTCAATATCGGTACCAGAGGATTGTTAAGCACTGCCATATAGAACTGAAAATCCGACCAACATTTTGGTGTTATCGACGTTGTGTTCTTTAAAGTATTCCCGAGAAACAACGGACCCATTTCAGTTTTGAAAGTGGTGAGGATTTCTGAAAACCATATTGCCTTCTGCGCCTCTGTCGGGTAGAGACAAATCCCAAGAAGGCAGGTCAGTTTGATGAATATCCTTAGCGGGTCCATCGTAGCGTAGTTCTGCACCCGTCTTTATCTCGACGTTTGTTTATATAGGTGTACAATAATAAAACTTATAATGATCTAAAGTACATATAGATAGGTACGGTACCTCTGTGTATATCATCTAACCTGTCAATATCTAGGTTTTTATCTAACTGCCTGTAGAACATCGATGCTTAAAATATATGAATAAGCAAGGTCCATTTACCTATGCATATCATGTAATTAAAAAGAAAAACTCAAAATTAAGTAAGTAAGTAAAGGATTGCTCAAAAAGGTATAATTGACGTTAAAATGGCAGAATTTAAATTATAATATTGTAGCTCACTGAAAATACAAATATAAGGATCAAATATGGAATTAAGAGGAGTAATTAATTTAAGAGCAGGTTTATTTCAATATCATATATATTTTTGATTCATCATACTTCACCTTTATATTAACCAAGGGTCAAAAGGAACGTCATTGGGAGATAACAGCCATTCCCATGAGCTTGAATCAAATGTTTTTTATTAGAGTTTAATTTAACCTTTGAATTTTAATTTTTGTTTGTGATTCATGATCAGCATTATACACTCGACATATATGTCTGTCAAAATTAAGGTAATGCCCCGTGTAGACGTAAATAATGCCTGTGTAGACGTAAATAATGCCCCGTGTAGACGTAAATAATGCCTGTGTAGACGTACATTAACTCCTTTGAAGACGTAAAATACGCATGCGTATTACAGATGTAACTAAGGTCCACACAGGCGTCATTTTACGTCTTCACGGGCGTACTTACCGCCTTCATATGAGTGAACAACGCCCTCATTTGGTAACTTTACCAACCATTACTAATTTGGAGATCCCGTTTACATAGATGATAACCATAATTTAACGCACTTACAACTGAACATTGACGTCAATCCTTGCTGTTGCAACATCTATACATTCATGTTGTAGTAGAAGTGTTACGGAGCGTAATATTGTAATCGCAATCCAGGATATTTATCGTTTATAGTCGTCTCTATAAAGAACATTAAATCTTGGATTTCATGTTCCACCAAACATGCATCCTTACCTAACAAAACAATATGCATTGAACTTCTCCATTCGATCGCCCTTTGGTCAAGAACATAGTGGCTCGTAAATCTATGCTCGGTTTAATGGCTTCGAATGTCTTCATCATACAATAATTTTTCGAATATTTTGGAAATCAAATCAAAGACACTACTTGTATAACATATTATGATAGTAGCGATTCTTCTATTTATCTTTTGTTTTAAAAAGTCACTTAATTTATTCTCTGGTGACAAAATATAATGTTTAATATTAGGACAAACGGGTATTACCGGTTGGTTTTCTGACTTTGTTGGTTTTGATATATACGATATTCAATGGCAATTGATAGTATAGTTTGAAATGTATGTTTAGAATGTACTTTTGAAGTGATCTTTATCGAGTATTAATGGCATTGATGCTTTACTATTGACTTTTTATCTATAATATCATACTTCACTTTGAGTTAATATTAAAACAGTGTTTAGACTATATCGACTAGTCAACTTCCACTAACGCGAACATCAGTTTTGACCTCGCCAACTACGTTACTTGCACTCGAACCACAATTCTCACACCACGAACGTGAATTTTTTAGTCGCGCTCTATCATTTCCTCGCTTCTGAACATATTTCTGCACTCGCGAACAGTGATCCGTGCTCGCGAACCACACACCTAATCGTGATGTGAGAATCGTGGGTCGAGTGCAAGGAACGTAGTTCGCGAGGTCAGAACTGATATTTGCGTTGATGATAGTCTAGAAGGCCTGTCATATACATGTTCAGGTTCAAACCTCATGTATATCTAGCTCCGCAGGGCTGCAATGTAACCTAGCTGAACTGGAAAGAGTACATTGATACGCCAGATTGGTCCCAGATTTTGTCATATACTCTAACAAGTTTACACCTTCTTTATAACTAGCTCTGCAGCCTTGCAGTACCTAGCTCGGATTGAAGGGGTACCTGATCACTGGTATCCTAGGAGTGTGAAGGTAAGAATCCTGGTGAACATACCTAGCTTGGCATGGACCTGATGTTAGAAAGTATGCAATGGGATATTTTGTTACTAGTGTAAGTTTGATCTTATAAACATTGTCAGTAGGATTTTTTAACAATTTGTAACATTTAAGAAAATTGTTATGATGATTATAACTAACTCTTAAGGACAGTTGAGCAGCATGTGTGTGTGTGGGGGGGGGAATATATAAGCGCAGATGCCAAAGGGATAGAAATGTCAGTTGTGCTTCCTCTGGTGTGTTCGAGCGTTAACATCAGCTGCCTCTAGTCAGATCGACCGACAAAACAACCTTTTTTAGGTTGTCGAGTTGGCCGAGAGGGCTTGATCGCCGGCACGTTCGAGCTAGGCGATTTTGTGCCGTAACCACGAGGTTGCGAGTTCGAGACACGTGTGCTCCTTGTGTTTATTCAATCTTCCAATTAACTGATATACATGCGCTCTTAATTTTGCACAGTGCAGTAGCATTTATGGTGTAAACAATTCAGTTTACTTTTAATATATGTTCCGTCAAAATTATTTTTTAATGAACTACACAGGGGTCCAATTTAAGCAAAACTTCATTTTTATTTAGTTTGTTGGGCCTGCTTTCATTGATACCCCCTTCACAGAATACCAGGTGAACGAAGCCAGGGAGGGGTTTGAGGCACTGCTGGACAAACTTGAGGAAATATGGCTGAAGGAAAGTCCTTCTCTGGCCGGAAATGACATCACTATAGCTGATTTACAATGTATTACAGAACTTACTCAAGTAGGCTCGATTGGCTATGACATGGTAAATGGCAGACCTAAACTTGAAGCCTGGATGCAGCGAGTGGAGGACACTCTCAAACCATCTTTTGACGACATATGCAAAGTACCATTGACATTTTTCGAAAACGCATTCAAGAAATATAAAGAAGCAAAATAACTATAATGATCAGATGCAATACAATGCAAAATATAGTATCATTTATAACAACCGCGCCAAACAAAAATAGGCGAAGCAAACAAAACACAACGATTGTTAGGATTTTAATTGTTTAATTCTAGAATGTTATTGTCAGAGCAAGGTCACCACTTAGACAAGTGGGGAGATATCAGAATGTTATTACAAAGAAAGTATAAACGTAATGCATCAATAGTCCATTAATTCTCATATTCTTAACTATCGATTCCGTTATAGCATACTAACATCCTCTTTGGTTTTTAATGTATTAAAAATACCATAAAACAAACTACACAATATTCATAAAATAAACTGAACTAAGGTATCTTCGGTCTTCTTGCTAAAGCCTGTTTTAAGATTACAAATATCTCAATAACGAGATATTTTAAAAGTAACAGGATTGGTCATTGGCAATTTGTTAAATATGTATCAATTATCTTCAAAAATATGGGCCACATAAATGCACCAATTCTGTTACATTTTTATCACCCTGTAAAGCTCTCAAGAACTTATTTGACACCAGCTACCATAAAATATAACTTTAATCCGTTGATCGTATTTCGTGTTGGCAATTAAATTGCACGATTATCAAGAACAAAGGAAAATAAAGTTGGCATTATTTGGACCTACCCTGAACACAGAGCTATAAATCAGTAATAAAATTTACATAATTATAATTGGCAATACACTTATTTCTCGGAGTAAATAATTTACATTTACAAAATTATATACAATAATTGTATAAAAAAAACAATTCAATCCTATAGGATCCAACCTGAACATAAATATATCTCAAATCTATAATTCACTAATAAAGTCTTACTAATTATAGCATAGAGTTATAATTAGTTGTAACTATGTATCTTAGTAAATAATTTTGCATATATAAAAGTATAAACTCGTAGAAAAAATAGTCCAATCCTAATAAGAAGTACATTTTTTCTAGATTGGTAGATAACTTACATATGCAATATAATAAACACCACTCGTAGCAAAAATAATCCAATCCTTCTGATTGTTTCTAAATGTCTTGTTATCGAACATTTTCATAGAAACTACAAAGACAAAAGGTCAGATGGTGAATATGTCTTTTCACTATGCTCCTGAATAGGGAAAACACAAATTCTAATGCAATGCTTTATCCTATTTTGGATAATTTATGAAGACAACATGTCCTCGTTTCTAGCCAGTTGATCACATGCGTAAACGTTATATTTTCTCTTGTTGGTAATTCACAGTGTTTTTACTGTCTAGGTATACCCGTTCTACTTGTCTCCCCTTGTATATATCATTAAAATATCAATTTCTTCTCATTTGGTTTAGTTTATTTATTCATTTTGTTACGTGGAAATATAATTTTCTCAAGTTGTAACATTGGAATCTCAAATGTCAGTGTTACGAGGATACTCGCTGCTATTGTTAAACCGAGAAATGCACAAAATAGCATCGCCTGAAATTATAAATATTGATAAAAATGACAGCTTATATATCATACGGAGTATGTCAACAATTTCATATATTATTTCGATTTAACCTTTTTTGTAAATCCATGGATTTTGATAAAATATTCAGAGGATGAAGGAATCAATTTGTACAACCGTTACCGAAATTGGATTGATAAATCACCAGGAGTTTCTGAATATTTTCAGATTTTACTTTTCTCATTTAAGAGACAACTTTACAAATTGATCTCCAGCATTATTTCATATGTATCATTTAAAAAAGTCAAACGAATGTTTTGTCCAACCAGGTGTAAAAGGGTAGGTGGTCCTATCAAATTCTGGTCCTATTCTCTATTGATTTATAAGGTGACCCAATTACAATTATTTTCCTTATTATTTATACACAGTCAGGGGCAGTGAGGGCCGTAAGGAAAGGGGACCATAATCCCCAGGGGAAATTGGATGTGAGTTAGGACGGCGTTAACTAAATTGAAAATTAATTATTTAAATATTAAATATAAATACCGATTCTGGAAATATCCTCATGTACTGTAGCTGTCTCCTGTTGTAGTGATAATAGTACATGAACATTGGGTGGATCAGATAACCCGTGTACGTCAACCGAGAAAGGGGAATCCAGCCCCGCCATGCCATTAGCTTGTTCACCACTCCTGTTCATGAAATACACAGTAAAGGTCTTTAATTGGGAATATACAATGATCATTGGAATCATAAAAGAATCGTCTTGATAATAGTACATGATCATTTGATGGGTCAAATAACATGTCTTCGTCAACCCAGAAAGGGGATTCAACCCCCCCCCCCCCCCCATGCCATTAGCTTGTTCACCACTCCTGTTCATGAAATACACAGTAAAGGTCTTTAATTGGGAATATACAATGATCATTGGAATCATAAAAGAATCGTCTTGATAATAGTACATGATCATTTGATGGGTCAAATAACATGTCTCCGTCAACCCAGAAAGGGGAATCCAACCCCGCCATGACATTAGCTTGTCCGACACTTCTGAAAAACATAGTTAGTGGCAAGCAAGTTCTGAACGAAAAGGAACGGGAACCTCAAATTACAGTACTTTTATTAGATAGCAAATCAACAAAAAAAATTCAATAAATAAAACAATATAATATAAAACCAATGGTACATAAAAGAGCTTATCAATTATTTAATATTTTTAATTCTATTTTCGCGCTCTGTTACCGGGACCACTGGAACCTAATAGAACCTAATAGAAATGCACGTTTTTTCATTATGTCAAAATAAAAGAAGAATACTTAATTGTTTAAGAAAAATAAAAGAAACAGGTTTATCCTTTGAAATTGTTAGGATGGCACAGTAGTCACAACGCTAAAAGATCAACTTATGTAAGGTAAGATTAGGGTAATCCAGTCTAAACCTAAACTTATAGTAAGCTTATATAATTTGGAAGGATCTCTTGTGGTTAGGATGATGCAAAAAACACTACGATAAACAGCTAATTTATTATAAGGACCTAACCTCCATGTCCAGTAATGCACATTAAGCAAATCCAAGCAACACCCAGTGCAAATATATGTCTCTGGAACCCAAAGTATATTACTGCTAAGACACCGAAGAATGTCGTTCCAGGCGGTGTGTAGTTTCCATAAATTGCCGCATGTATTAATCCCATCGCAACGACCCATCCTATTGCTTGCACCCACTACAAATGATCGAATAATAATTATAAAAACTATAAAATATATATCTATGCAGTAGTGACTACATACACCTGTGAAAAATATACAGACGGAATGTAGTAGTACATGTTCAGATTCTTATTTTATCAACATTTTGTTGATTTTGACAGAGCTAAGTCTCGGTAGATCACCGAAGCACCGTAACCGAAGATGTCTATATCACGAGGATGGCCGAAGGTATTTAAAAATTCCTTGAAGCCTCTTCGTCAATCTTCGGATGCAGGCCCTGGCTCAAACGACTTGTTATTTGTGCTCTAATACGAGCGTAAAGTAATGTTTTATATTTTTTAAGGCAATCGGGAATGCGTCTATGATGGAGGAATTTTCATTTTTGTTCAAAAGGTAATGTCAAACTTGTATCATTAAGCCTCCTGCAATATTAAGCCTCATTAAGCTTCATGCAATATTAAGCCTCATTAAGCTTCATGCAATATTAAGCCTCATTAAGCTTCATGCAATATTAAGCCTCATTAAGCTTCATGCAATATCCAAAGCCCACTATTTAGTTGTATGCATTTGACAGATAATAAAAATGCACCTATCCTTAACATGTGACTGATTGCATGATTATAAAATGCTAGTTAACTTACCCATTTTATTTTGACAATTGCTTTTGTTCTCCATATTATATATCCTAGCAATAGGCCTACTATATATGCTCCGATCCTCGTATATGGCCGTATGTATTCAGTATAAAACCCCGAATAGTTCATGAAGTGAAGGGCCATTGTTGCAAGGATACTTCCAAAAAAGAAATATCCTGAGATGATGTAACCAACAACGGGTTTCCTAAGATGAATAAATAATGTTTAGATAACGATTATTCGAAATAAAACATGTGTACAAATTTGAAGGGCAATCCGTAACAACAGTATTTGTCTCAAAACTTCCAAATGCCCGCCAGAAAGCAAGATGTCCGCTTGCTCTGAAAAGTGTTGCCATGTGATAAGTGTAAACATCTGATATAATTCCGTTAAGTGGTTTTCATTGGATTGCTATGACAACTGAAATTTCCAAAATGGCCGGGAAAAAGCAAGATTGCCGCCTAAAAGGTATTCAGCTCTTGAAATTGTTCGGTGTACCATGCGTTAAAATTTGTAATAAAAAAGTAAGAAAATTAATTTGGTGGTTTTACTTGAAGTGCGAAGACAAGATTTATATAAAAACTTCAAATATTGCCACCAGAAAGCGAGATGGCCAGCAAAAAGTTAAGTTTTTTCCTGGCTTTTTCAGCTCTAGACCTTAAAATGCAACGTGTGAAAATAAAATGTAAAACATTTGATTACAAAAAATAGGAGACGCCGCTGCGCGCCCGCCCGCCAAGCTGATGACAATAGCGTTCCTTTTTAGGTACGATAAAAAGATAAATTATTACGGAAGTTAGTTCAGCATCTCTTTAACTATAGTGATCATTGAACTGATATATTTTCATTATTTATAGACAATCGACTCACTTGTACAAGGTAATTAGAAAGATAGGTGCAACGATGTAGAACTGCATGTCGTTGGCGAGGTACCATGACCATACCATGCACTGAAAATAGAAATGCAATTGATTTGCAGATTTGTTCTTTGATTTTTTTAAAGGATTTAAGCCCTTGACTCTATGCATTGTGGGCTTGTTCATTCCACGAAGGTGTTGTTTTCAGAACTTTGCACTAGTAAAAATGAAAGGTCGACACTTACATATGGGGATGTTACATACAAGTTGTTAATATAGAACAGGTTAGTCCACCAGTACAAGTGGCACCCCTCTGCATCAGTTATCAACTCTGGCCAAAGTGGCCCATCGCCCGTATATTTAAAAAGTGTGCCGTAGAACATGACTAGTATCATATAAACCGGAGTCAGTCTACGAATAAAATAACGACCAGTTTAACCTCAAATTGAAGTGCTTATGCCTCATTATAAAAATTGAATATTTTGTATTTGGTGACACCAATTTGAACGATTTTTGAGAATATAATGTTACTCCTCAACGGAATGAACTTACTATGTATAAACATACTTTGAGGAAGGCATTCATTACGCAGAGACGAACGAAAATTTGAAATCAATATTGCAAATGTGAACAAACACGTTTTTATACCTCCAAAACCTGTGGAATAAGTAGAGTCCCATCTGCTTTGGCCATCCTGGTTTTCCAACATGTCTGTCTAATGTCTTCAAGAATGAAATAGCAACAAGGAAGCCACTGAAAAATTATTCGACGAGCAGTGCAAAAACAAAGGTCTTCGTAGTGATTTCTGTGTCATTATTTAATTCATAGATCAAAAATGTGAAAAATAAGATTTTTGCATCAAATCCTAATTGATTCCGTAAAACCGTATCATTAACGAAGGTTCTAGGTTGAAACCACGTGCCCTTTATTTCGGAAAGAGTACTAGTTCTTATATCATATTATGTACTAGGATTGTCTACTATTATTAAATTATCTAAGCCCATGCCTCGATGCACAGCTGATTAAATCCACGTATGTGTTGTTCCCTTTAGGGACGTGGCAACATTTAATATTTAGTGATGTCAATGCTTTAAAACGATCCTGCATCTCAAAGCATAAAAGAGGTAATACATTAACATTATCAATAACGTGGACATCCAAATCCAAAGCATTTAAAGGCCCCATGTAAAGTTTAAACCACTTTGGCTTATATTGTAGTCTTGCCCAATGTTATTAAAGTGTGATATGTGAAACTTTTTTTTTTAATTTCAAAAAGTGGTTTTTGATAGACTTTTTGTTCCAAAATTTGTGAATTTATTTAAAACGAACTTTTAGAGGTCACTCATATCTTCTAATTAGCCACAATTCATACCAATGCATAGCATACATCCTCCCATGTTTTTGGCGAAAAAATTAAGAAAATCGGTTGATAAACAAGCGAGAAATGAACTTATCAGTGCATGAAAATGGTTCTGAGAAAAATGCATTTCAAAATTTTAGTTCTCATAGAATGATATCTAAAACATAATTTATTCTTCCTTTTAACCTGGTTAGACAATCAACATTGTTTTTTTATGAAAGTCTAGCATATTTAGAAAAGATTGACATCGAAAAAAAATTCAATTATTTTCAAAAAGTTTTTGTTACCTTAGTGACATCACTAATGTTTCAAAATATTTTTGATAAGCTAAAACATTGAAGTGGCCCATTAAATATGACATTTTATTATTGAAATAGTGTGTCTTTTATTTCAATCTTTGCATTGGTGTTAAAAATATAATCTTTTTTGAAATGCATTAAGAAATATTTGATGATTAAGAAATTTCAACTTTTTTTGAAAAATGGCGGGAAATTTGAATATTTGAGAAATGAAATGCTCACAACTTTTTAAAAAAAAAATTTTTTTGTTCAAAAATCTCTAAAATCACTTTTTAAGTCCTGACAAATAGTAAATGAATGATAAAAAAATATTTTCAAACTTTAGACGGGGACTTTAAATGACCTTACTTTGAATAATATTTTACCTTAAAACGAAGAATGAATCAACTGCTAGCTGCATATGTATGAGAGCTCTGTTACTGTATTGACCAAGGTACACAGGATATATCATTGAATAATACTATACCTTAAAACGAAGAATGTATTAACTGCTAGCTGCGTATGTATGAGAGCTCTGTTACTGTATTGACCAATATACACAGGATATATCATTGAATAATACTATACCTTAAAACGAAGAATGAATCAACTGCTAGCTGCATATGTATGAGAGCTCTGTTACTGTATTGACCAATATACACAGGATATATCATTGAATAATACTATACCTTAAAACGAAGAATGTATCAACTGCTAGCTGCGTATTTGTGAGAGCTCTGTTACTGTATTGACCAATATACACAGGATATATCATTGAATAATACTATACCTTAAAACGAAGAATGAATCAACTGCTAGCTGCGTATTTGTGAGAGCTCTGTTACTGTATTGACCAATATACACAGGATATATCATTGAATAATACTATACCTTAAAACGAAGAATGAATCAACTGCTAGCTGCATATGTATGAGAGCTCTGTTACTGTATTGACCCATATACACAGGATATATCATTGAATAATACTATACCTTAAAACGAAGAATGTATCAACTGCTAGCTGCGTATTTGTGAGAGCTCTGTTACTGTATTGACCAATATACACAGGATATATCATTGAATAATACTATACCTTAAAACGAAGAATGTATCAACTGCTAGCTGCGTATTTGTGAGAGCTCTGTTACTGTATTGACCAATATACACAGGATATATCATTGAATAATACTATACCTTAAAACGAAGAATGTATCAACTGCTAGCTGCGTATTTGTGAGAGCTCTGTTACTGTATTGACAAATATACACAGGATATATCATTGAATAATACTATACCTTAAAACGAAGAATGAATCAACTGCTAGCTGCATATGTATGAGAGCTCTGTTACTGTATTGACCAATATACACAGGATATATCATTGAATAATACTATACCTTAAAACGAAGAATGTATCAACTGCTAGCTGCGTATTTGTGAGAGCTCTGTTACTGTATTGACCAAGGTACACAGGATATATCATTGAATAATACTATACCTTAAAACGAAGAATGTATCAACTGCTAGCTGCGTATTTGTGAGAGCTCTGTTACTGTATTGACCAATATACACAGGATATATCATTGAATAATACTATACCTTAAAACGAAGAATGTATCAACTGCTAGCTGCGTATTTGTGAGAGCTCTGTTACTGTATTGACCAATATACACAGGATATATCATTGAATAATACTATACCTTAAAACGAAGAATGTATCAACTGCTAGCTGCGTATTTGTGAGAGCTCTGTTACTGTATTGACCAATATACACAGGATATATCATTGAATAATACTATACCTTAAAACGAAGAATGTATCAACTGCTAGCTGCGTATTTTTGAGAGCTCTGTTACTGTATTGACCAAGGTACACAGGATATTTCCAAAAATTCCAATTTGCTGCAAATATTATTTAAGTTAAAGTTTAATCTGTATTTGTTCTTTCATATATATATATATCCCACCTGCTATATTGAATTCAATTTGTTTTGTTTCTTAATTAAGTTTGAATCAAAAATATTGGTTCTCTAAGCAATATCGAAGTGTAGAAGTTGCTAATTAAACTCATACAATTGATGGAAAGCGTTTTGAGATATAAGAATTTCTAAAAAAGAAGTTCTGATGGTTTGTTTTTGAAATTTGCTTTTTTTTATTTTAATGACAAAATATTTTTTAAAAAATAGAAAAATTCAATTGTTAAAAATAATAATAATTTATTATAAGAAAACAATATAAAAGAAGATACTGTTTCTCTAATATGGATCAAATGTTGGCATATGACACGAGTGGGCTGATTGGTATACAAAGTATACTCACCAACAGTTATACCCGAATCACCAATATAGATTCCGAATTGATGTGTATGTCCGAGTAGGATGTATGCCATACTCAGGAATCGTATACCATTTAGGGCGAGATACGAGCCTTTGGGAGCATCAACACTCATCAGTTGCGGCAGATTGCTGTACACTGAGAAGGCAAGAATGATTCGAATACCAACTCCTATAATATAATTAAAGAGAGTAGGATATACGACATGTTGACAAATCATATACAATTTAGGGCGAGATACGAGCCTTTTGGAGCATGAACACTCATCAGTTGGGGAAGATTGCTGTTCACTGAGAAGGCAAGAATGATTCGAACACCAACTCCTGTAATATAAAGAGAGTAGGATATACGACATATTGACAAATCATATACAATTTAGGGCGAGATACGAGCCTTTGGGAGCATCAACACTCATCAGTTGGGGAAGATTGCTTTACACAGAGAAGGCAAGAATGATTCGAACACCAACTCCTGTAATATAAAGAGAGTAGGATATACGACATATTGACAAATCATATACAATTTAGGGCGAGATACGAGCCTTTGGGAGCATCAACACTCATCAGTTGGGGAAGATTGCTTTACACAGAGAAGGCAAGAATGATTCGAACACCAACTCCTGTAATATAAACCCACCATATGGTAGTTCTTTGTTCAAAATAATAAAAGAGCAGTTTACAAAATGTCTTCAAAACAACGGAAGGAAAATAGAGGGAAATACTTCATACATTTTGAAGTCGTATAGGATCATTCGTTACTCACTCGTGTCATCTCTTAAAGCTTCATACGTACCTTGGGAGATCCAAGAAATACCTAGCTTGTGCCTACGTTCATAAAGTGAATAAATGCACTTTGCCTCCACTATGATGACTGTGAGTTGGTCTATAGCAACTTCATTTAAACCATAGATCAAAACCATTTATACATATATGAATAGGGATACAAGGATACAACAACAGAATGGTAAAATTTGAAAAACTGCTACACGTTTCTAAGGTATCGTCCGTGACGCTTAGTAATTAATAAACAAACTCTATGTAGACGGTGAGCCTACAAGAAGAACTCGGTCTGAATAAATGGATGGTCGATGCAGCGGAGGAAATTTGTTTCACAAATTTGAAATATTCTATGAATTTAATTGTGTGGCCAATTGAATAGTGACACTGGAAGCATTGGTCATTAATATGAAGCATATCGGCTTAAATGTTTATTCCTGAATGTTAATTATACCTGGAGTGTATGCTTTCGGTTTATGACCTTTGGTGAGTGGTACATTATCATTATCGTTGGATTGGTCTTCCATAGTAAAACTTGACGCTTGGGTACCATGTTTATCATTTGAATCAACACATGCCAGATTGACCTCATCAGTGGTTGCTTCATACTTTGCTATCTTATCCTCATGTTCTTTTCTTTTTGGTGTGATGTAAAACATATCTATAGCAGAGGCTGCCAACACTATTGCCACAAACATACTTATAATACACCTGAAAACAAATTATATTCATAAAAATAAGCAGTCACAATTATTTAGGGATGTTCGTTGGAGATTCGAACATTTATAAATAGTAATCAGTATTTAAACTTTCCCATGTATAATTTTCTGAGATTCTAACTAGCAACAATGGCTATTAGAATGTTCTACAGTAGTGATCTACATTATATATGATATTCTACTATATTCACCTATAGTTTAATTTGTAATCTATGCTTGCTGTATATGTTGAGCTATTCTTTATTAGAGATCTTAGGTCAAGGTCACAATGACATTACACACTATATCTTGTAAACAAAACTGAACTGAATGACTCATTAACCCTTGACCTCCTAGAACATTCTAAAACTAGTAAACATTTGCTCAGATTTAATCGGGTGACTGGAGATGTCCAATCATAACTCAACAAGAAGTCTCAGTTCCAGAAGATTCTTTCTAGATGATTCTTTCACACTAAAAACAAAACTGCAAAGTGGACTCAGGAGCAGAAATTCAGTCATCATAACTAGACATCTCAAAGGAACTAAATAAAGTCGAACATCAAAATTGTTTAATAGGACACCTACTTCGGGAACATTTATAACACTACAAACATACAACCTGAGGACTTTATATGGACATTATACAGCACACACTCTATACGGATTATCATAAACATTTTTGTGTATTATCATAAACATTTGTGGATTATCATCAAACATTATTGGGTACGAACATTATAGGATTACGACGAACAATTTTTGATTATTACAAACATAGGAGAACTATAAACGATTATTGAAACGCTTCGTGATCTAGAATATTCTCAATGTTCATCAAGGATATTTATCGACATCCAGAGACAGGCATATCATTTATTGGACATGTATATTTACATCTGCATATCATAAGTATTGACTGTTATATATTATTGTTATCGCATTTAGTTTTCAAAAATATATTACTGTACATTGTTATATTTTAATTGTTGTTTTTACTTTCTGTTATTTTCGAACGTAACACATGTATGTTAGTTTGTTGTCCTGAACAAGAGGCCCCTTGTTATCGATATTTGACAAAAGTGGGTGTGGCACTTCCTCATTTTATCCCATGGCAAAGATTTAATTTTCACCAAAAATAGATTTGATCCTATGTTTTAAATGAACTAATGTGCCAGAATTCATTGGAATAGTATTTTATCATCTGATTTGGGTATATATAATTGATTCGAACATGACTGTATTCACACCTTCTCTAAACTCTGAACAAAGTCAACATTTCACCCAGGGAATATTCGTCAATAATGCCCCTGGTAATACGAGTAATGTGTGACGTCATTACGACGGGCCGTAGTAATGGCGGACGATTGAATTAATATTCGAACGATTTGGGTAATTTTTAATGTACGATCGTAACATAGACCTCAGAGCAGGGGAAATATTTTCGAATACGCCTAGCCCTGCGGGGTGTATTCGAAAATATTTCCCCTGCTCTTTGGTCTATATTTCTTAATTAACATAGACTTATTTTGATTGATTAATGCTAGATTAAAGGTTTAACCCTAAGATTGTACTAGATGAAGCTATAATTAAGAATAAGTAAGTGAAGCAGAATAGACACTTGTTCAAATGCTACTTACAATGCTACAATAGCCCCTGGGTCATTTTTTATCAACGTTCTACTTGATCTGGGATCTGTTACGGATATGACACTAAAAGACCGTTCGCCATCATTCAGCATTCTATGTACATCAGATGACTGACAGCTGTCAGGGGCGCACACCCCAAAGGTAATGTTAACCTGAAAAAATAAGGGTTATATACTGGGAGATTTTGGAACAGGGTTTATTCCAAGGAAAATATGTTTCCATTCATTTCACGAGGTATAAACCTTATATTCAAATCGACCGTATATACTATATATAACAGACGTAGGTGCATTCCAGCATATCTTCTAAAATTCAAAAACATACTAAAACGCGTTTTCTCAGTTTTTAAACCAATTTTTCCATGTTTTTAAGTTTGTGAGATTTTCACTTTCATATATTGCTTGGGCTGATCATTGATATCAAAATTTCAAATATACAACATTAGTTTGAAATATATCGTTTTTCAGGAGCGGGACCGGGATAAATCCAGCCTGTATCCATCCCGACCCTGGAACTTGGTTATTGCTCCCTAGTATATCCCCGCTCGTTATGTACCTAGAGCCTTAGTAAGTATGGAATAAAACCAATTTTTCAACAAGGCATTAACATGACAAAATGATACCACCCAGTTACTCACAAAATTATGAGTTCGATCTTAAGTCCAATTTGAATTTCTGAGAATTTGTAGATGCTTTTGAAAAGATATAAATCGGTCAATTTGAAGCAAGCTGAAAAAATACCTCTTTGAACATGAGAAGGTCATTGAAGGTGAAATCTCAAATCTATAGTCAGATTTGAACTTCTGAGAACTTGTAGATGATTTTGAAAAAAATTGGTCAATTTGAAGCAAGATGAAAAAAGACCTTTTTGACCTTGAGAAGGTCATTGAAGGTCAAATCTTCTTTGACCTTGACAATGTCATTGATTTTCAAATCTATAGTCGGAATTGTCAGATTTAAATTTCTGATAACTTGTAGATGATTTGAATTAAAGATCGGTTAATTTGAAGCAAGTTGAAAAAAAACTTTTTGACCTTTTTTTCATTGACGGTCAAATTTATTGACCTTGTCATTGAATGTCAAATATAAAGTCAGAATTGAAATTTTGAGAAAAAAAGTTGAAAATACCTTTTTACCTTATTTGACCTTGAGAAGGTCATTGAAGGTCAACTCTTAAATCTAAAGTCAGATTTGAACTTCTAATAATTTGTAGATGGTTTTAAAAAAGGATTGGTCAATTTGATGCAAGTTGAAAAAACTTTTTGACCTTTTTTTACCTTAAAAAGTCAATCTAAACAGTATTTGTTAAGATATTGGAAGTTTTAAGAATTTGTTACAGACGCCAACCGCCAACCACCAACAGTCAACCACCAACTTTTTGGTGGTGACATAAAAATCAGTGATCTATGCCAGATGTTTGGCTTTGATTGAGATACCAATAAAAAAATTAGAATACATGAAAATAGAATTTGGTCAGAGATTCTAGTCTAATTTGATAAAATTATAGACAACATAGTATGGAAATCTAGCAGGCATCCCTATCAAAAATTAGGAAATTTCACAATACCGTGATAAGTCTGGTGATAAGCCCCTGGGGGCCGTTCTTGGAAACGGTCTTAAACTTACGACCGGTCGTAATTCGGTCGTAAATATTTAAACTTACGACGGTCGTAAGTTACGATTGTACCAAGAACGCCCTCCTGTGTCCTCCCCCAACCACTACACACCAGCCCACGAGCTGGTGTTTATATTAAGGTAAGGATTGAAGTTCTGAGACTTATGTCGTAACTACAATTACTCTATCGAATCTTACCCCATCTAAACCAAGTATTTTTACTCGGAAGTACTGCGCCTTAAAGTTTGCTTGGAGGCTGATATCTTTTGTTTTCCGATCCTCATTTTCTTCAGTGTAGTAGAACCACTTGTTATTCACCCTGATGCTCATACACAGGTCATAGTCGCCTATCCAAAAAGTTTTACCGCTTCCTATACCAGCATTTGGTGTTCCATCAGCATCTAACACTAAAAGTAAAGAGGACGGGTATTTTAATATGTTTTCAAGTGCATGATAAAGGAGTAACTGTTTACTGTTTAGTGGAGCAGGCAATTTCTGTATACATTTCATGTTCTTGGGGAGTACGTCACCCCTCCCTGTTCTATTATATAGCCTATATAGAGAATAAGAGGGGGTGGCTTACTCCCCGAGGTGCATGTCATTTTGCATTTCGCATGATGTAGGCATGCATAACAATAATATAAAAGCAAATACGCACTACTATTGATTTCTGGTACTGCAAGGTTTTCCACTGCTGGTCCCGTTGGATTGTTAACCACTGCTGGTCCCGTTGGATTGTTCACCACTGCTGGTCCCGTTGGATTGTTAACCACTGCTGGTCCCGTTGGATTGTTAACCACTGCTGGTCCCGTTGGATTGTTAACCACTGCAAAATAGAACTGAAGATCCGATGAACATTTTGGTGTTATTGATGTGTTGTTCGTTAGACTACTCCCGAGAAACAATGGACCCGGGACAGATTTAAAAGCATCGATAATTTCCGTAAGCCAGAGTGACTTCTGTGCATCCGTCGAATAGAAACACATTCCAAGTAGGCAGGTCAATTTTATACTTAGCGTATTCATCGTAGTGTAGCTCTACACATGTCTAGAGCTAGGTGCTTGTATATATAGATTAATAGGTAGTTTAGAAAATACAACACAAAGAAAATGCATTTTCTTTGATTTTGGGGCTCCCAGAGGGTATAAACATTTTTCACCAAGTGCTTTTTTCATTTTGCAGGGGTGGCAGGATATACACATACCCTATCAATTTCCACATACTCAAATTGCCTTATTAAAGAAAACCTACTATTAAAAGTTTAGTGGTCAATAAATATCAGATCTGTTAATTCCAAAATCAGAAGCGAATTGAATAATATAGATTAGAATGCACAAATAAATTAGTGGCCAATGATTCAGGGGTTTCATCAGCAACAGGCAATTTTTACAAGTTGTTTTTTAAAAAATTGCCTGTTGTTTTCAATATAAAAAAAATCAAATTTTCTCTTAATTTTGAGAGTATGCAATGGCGTTTTTGCGTTTATGATGCTACGCTATTGGCTGCAGCGCCTTGTCATTTGCTAGCTTTGCCCCTACATAACCATATATGTGAGTCTACAGAATAGAAATAAGAGGATGGTTATTCAGTTGACTTTTGAAAAGGGTTAATTTTATTCTGTCTGTCTCAACAAAACAGGAATATCCCAGAATTCATACAGTCATACTTCTTTTATGTAAACTATATCTTTGATTGGCCAAGGGTTCATCTATACTCCTGGGAAATGACCTCTTCTGGACGTAAAGCGTGGGAACATCTGATTTGACCAGTTCCCAGTGTGTCACCTGTCATTTTTCTGGAATTATGTACACTTTCCTCCAAAAGATTGGAAACAATTGTAGTACAGTAAAACCTGTATATCTGAACACTTAGCTAATCCGAACACCTCCCAATTTGAACATTTTTTGGTCCCGTGTTTCCTCCCATTGACTCAAATGTTAAAAAAACTTGAAATGTGAACACCTCCCAATTTGAACAGTGAACAGTCATGTTTGAAAAGTTAACCTATCTAATCTAAACATTTTTCATATAATGTCACATGTTACATACAAAATTGATCAAATATTTGAAAAAACGTGAATGATCTCACTCTTGGTGATGCTTTCTAGGATGAATAAATTCATTTGAATCAGATTTTCACGTCACTGTTATGCCAAAAAGCTATGTACAGAACTATAAATATTTATTTAATTTGTTCCCATTTCTTCAAAATCCAAAATCTTGCAAATGCAAAACCTCAAAATGTGAATACCTCCTAATCCGAACGCTTTTAGCTGGTCCCTCGGATTAGATAGGTTTTATTGTAGGTACAATCCCCTCTAAAAGTTACTGAGATCACTGGCTGGGAATTGGTGTTTGCTTACACACAGGTGTTCAATAGAGTAGACTTGTGTGTTCATGGGGCACAGATCTTCACTAAAGAGGTGTTCATTATGACAGTTTTACTGTACTGAAATCAATCCTGGGAATTTACTATATACAAAATTGAAATGTGTGTATCATGCCACCCCTGCAAAATAATTGTCTCGCGCACTTGGTCTCTTGGATCCACTTGCAAAATATATATAATCATATTTAATATGAGGCCTAAAATTGTCTGCTAGTTGGCCAGAGACCAATATTCTAGCAGAATTTGAGAACAGAATCGATTTTTTCGTTCTGCGTAGGGCAAACAATGATTTGAAATCACTTTCAACCATTCTGTGAGTAGAAGAATGGTCATAAGAGGCCCGTGGAGGGTCATGAATGAAAGAGAGCCCTCTGAAATCCCGTCAAAATTGCAGGTTATTTCTTCATTTTTTGCTAAAATTACATGATTTTCAGGGCCCATATCTCAGTGAAATTGCTACAATGTAGCGATTTTTCATTTTAACAGGCTAGATACACGTGTCAGGTCCACAGAAACAGTAATCATGTGTGATTTTTAAATTGCTACATTGTAGCAATATGTATTTCAAAATACAGGTGTGAGGGAAACTGCAATTTAGTTAGATTTGGGCGAAAATGGCCAAATTTCAGTCAAAATCCTCGGGACACAGGGCCTTTGTCTTAGATTTAGTCAATGATGCAACTCTTAGTAGAAGGTGTGCCATATAGGGAATGAAAGCTGTTTGTCAGACGTATCATTTTCTTCAATAAACTCAGAGATAGTCAGGTTAGATTTGTGACGCCACAGTGGCAAAGTTAGACTAGCATATTTAGACGTATTTGGGGAAGGGCAAATTAACCCTTTCTAGCCTAAATGGATAAAATTTTCACATATTCAGCCAGTTCCGACGTTTTTATGCATTTTTGAACTAAAAATGATATTTTCTGCCAAAAAAAGTTGCAAGAGACGAAAATCAGTGTGATGTCATAAAACATTAAGGTATGAGGTTCCATATCCATCCGCCAAAAGGTATGACCCCTATATAGTCCATTTAAAAACTCGTGGTATTGTTCTAAATAACGCCATAGTTGGCTTCTAGGGTACCTAGTATGCCACTATTTGGTATCAAAATAAAGAGGAGGAGTTCAACTTTCATTTGAATTACGAAAATAGCGATGTAGGTCAAAAATAGTTCCGACGTGAGGTTGTTTACTACGCGTTTGCCCGTCGTATCAGAATTGAGGAAGTGGTAGCAAACGCGAGTCACAATAAATGGACGCTGATATCTCAAAAAGTAACCTGACTCCCTATAATTTGATGTAGATCAATCGAACCCCTATATGAACAGGTACATTTTGATATATAACACTATGGGGGGTAAGCGTTTTATAGTTGGTCACGAACGCCATATGTGCAAAGTATTGTTATGAATTTTCGAATTTGGTGTTGGATAACGGTACTCATACCTTAAAAAACACATGGCAGCCATCTTGAAAAATGGCGGCTTTTACACACGATTTTACAATTTTTGCTATAACTTGAAAAGTAGTGGAGCGATTTTGTTCATATTTGATATGAGACTAATTATTGGCATGGCACACTGTTTAATGACATTTTGGCTAGAAGGCGGCCATTTTGAAAATCGGCTATCGAGCAGAACTTCTACTCCCATAGGGTATATGTGTCTACATGCATAAACTACGAAAAAAGCACTCGGTGAAAAATGTGTATACCCTCTGGGAGCCCCAAAATAAAAGAAAATGCATTTTCTTGGTGTTGTATTTTCTAAACTACCGATTAATATCGACCAGAAAGCTTATAAAGACTATGCCTATTTACAAAGTACCTGTACATATAATGTCCTTGTGAATGTGTCCTTAAATCACAAAATTAAGTGAGAAAGAGGTTTGGACAAACATTTATAGATTTATGATTTCATGTTCAGTGACGAACGCAATAATTAAATCCAAGAGTAGTTCAAGGGGTATGCAGATATTATATAGACTAATTATAGACAGAAGGGTCGAAATTTAAGGGCGGGGATATTCCAACACCATCTATATGATTTACTGGTAGAACTCTCCTTATGTATGTATGTATAATTGATTTGCCTCTTAATGAAAAGGGAGTTACATTCACAATATTATATAAACTAATTAAAAGTAAAAGCATCATGCAAAGATTAATAAAGAATTGGTAATGTACAGTAATTAAACATTTTTAACAGCAGTTGTCTCTGCTTATGCATTATGTACACTTTCTGTGATATGGGTAATAGTTTCTCATTACCCTTTGCATTCGTTCGACTTCACTTCTTAAAAGAGAGCTCCGCCTTCAGTTTAACTAGACTCTGCACGCAGGGTAGTTTCCCATTGTCATAACATACCATACCTTAGAATAAAATTGTCATCTTGAACAGATTGGTCATTGCAATGTTAATCATGGGTTCCCTGACTCCAGAAAGAGCTGGACACTTTAATAAGAAACGTTTCACAGTCTAGAATAGTCTAGAATATTTTCAAATAAAAGCCTCTGGAAAGAGAGAGTTCTTACATTTTGGCGAGCATCCGTATCAAAATAATCCTTTATATCTTACAAACGATATGTGAGATTTGCCAAGGTGAACGAGGTGTCGAAAGGTACTAATTAGACGATTAATTAGTATAGCATTCCTCATTTCTTAACTAGTTCAATCAGTACAACCAGCGTCGATCACCACATAAATGCCAAAACAGCTATGGTCAATGTGTCAATTGTTTCATGCTGGACATGTGCCACTGTTTTGAAAAATCCATAGATTACAGTACTCAATCTGCTTTGATTGATTTTACTGAACTTGTAAACCAATAATTAGAACCACACTACAGCATTGCACCATTGTCTGCTCCTCAGATTCTCTCATAAGGGAGCTATTGTATTTATAAGTCTGTTATCACATAAGAGTACATGCTTATTTGATATACCAAATGATTATTTTACTATACTGTAAGTAACTCATAATCAAGTCACGTTGTATTATGTGTTGAATAAGGTAGTCTAGCTACAAGCCTCTGTGACCCCTCCCCCCCCCCTACTTGAGTGAACATCTTCTCACACAGAGCCTGTATCTAGACACACACCGGTGCAATTAAGAAGGTATATTTTGATGTACCGAGCTAAGAGGATACTTGGTCTTGATCATGACTTGTGTGCTAAGACTGTCCCAAAGACTTTTTGTAACATGCTTGATATTTAAAATTGATGGTACCAATGAAATTACAGTCAATAAATAAATGAGAATAATTATGAAATAGAAGATGAAGGTGAAAATCACATTAAAATATATGTCAAATGTACTACATACATGCATTCATACCAGACATACACTGCTCAATGGAATGCAAAGCTTATTGGTCAGTGTCAATGAGCCCAGTGTCTAGGATCAATTGTACTGCTTACTGGCAAATGTGATAACAGATTGATGCAGTTCAAATATTTTGCTAATTGTTAACATTAAATACTTTTTGAA